CAGAAAGAACTGTAGCAGAAAGAACTGGACCCCTTTCTCTTAGCCCCAGTCTGAATACAGACTGAGCTCTCAGCTTTTTCCTGAGCTGCCTGCCTGGCCTGCCAGCTATATTCTCTCCATTAAACCATGTGACCTTGCTTTTCCCAGTCCAAGTGACTGGACACCCTCTCTCTGATTCTGTCCTGAGATCGGCCCATCCATTCTTTTTTTAAAAATTTATTTATTTATTTATTTGACAGGTAGAGTTATAGTCAATGAGAGAGAGACAGAGCCCAAGTTTATAAATAGATCTTCCTTTTTTAAAAAAAAAAAGATTTATTTATTTATTAAAAGTCAGTTACACAGAAAGAGGAAAGACAGAGAGAAAGGTCTTTCTTCCATTGGTTCACTCCGCAAATGGCCGCTCCGGCAGGTGCGCTGTGCCGATCTGAAGCCAGGAGCCAGGCGCTTCCTCCTGGTCTCCCATGCAGGTGCAGGGCCCAAGGACTTGGGCCATGCTCCACTGCCCTCCTGGGCCACAGCAGAGAGCTGGACTGGAAGAGGAGCAACCTAGACTAGAACCCATATGGGATGCCAGCGCCGCAAGGTGAAGGATTAAGCAAGTGAGCCATGGCGTCTGCCCCGACGCATCCATTCTGACGGATGCCCCACCCCCAAAACAGTGCTGCCTGGCTGACTGCTCCTCTCCATTTCACATCTCAAGTCTTTTCTTGCAAAAAGACAAAGACAAGAACCTACTCTACCCATCTCTGCTAGCACCCAGTGCCCTTTTAACTGAAGGGATGGCCTTATGCGAAGTTCCCCATTACCTGTTGATGGAGGATCAATCATCCCCCACCCGGAGTGTAGCCAACTAGCAGAATAAACACAGGATTCTCAACCTAAAATGGGTGATCTAGGGCCAAGGAAACTAACCTTGCTGATTCGAGCTCCAGAGGAATTGGTGGGCCGACAGTGGCCCTTGCTGGCACCAGGGTACTGGAGTCCACACGGTGCTGCAGTTGGTCTTGCACAGTTTGCTCTGGGTCCTGCTGCAGGCACCAAAATTGTGAACTGAAATATTCAGTCGAAAGGTCAAAGTAAACTTTATGCAGCTAAGCAAACTGAAGATTTTAATCTGGAAACAGCCAGTCAGTTGCCCGAGTTGGCTGTTCTGTGAGCCCAAGTTTATAAATAGATCTTCCTTTTTTTTTTTTTTAAAGATTTACTTATTTATTAAAAGTCAGTTACACAGAAAGAGAAGGAGAGGCAGAGAGAGAGAGGTTTTCCATCCGTTGGTTCACTCCCCAGTTGGCTGCAATGGCCGGATCTGTACCAATCTGAAGCCAGGAGCCAGGAGCTTCTTCCCGGTCTCCCACGTGGGTGCAGGGGCCCAAGGACTTGGGCCATCTTCTACTGCTTTCCCGGGCCACAGCAGAGAGCTGGATCAGAAGAAAGGCAGCCGGGGCTTGAACTGGCACCCATATGGGATGCTGGCACTGCAGGTGGCAGCTTTACCCGCTACACCACAGCGCCAGCACCAAGCCCAAGTTTGGTTGCAGGTTGTGAATTTATTTTACAGCATAGGTACATGCATCGAGTCAGGTTTAAACAATATAGATTTTTTTAAATATTTATTTATTTGAAAGAGAGAGGTAGAGACAGAGAGAGAGAGAGAGAGAGAGAGAGAGAGAGGTCTTCCATCCACTGGTTTACTCCCCAGATGGCCTCAATGGCCGGAGCTGCGCCAATCCAAAGCCAGGAGTCAGGAGCGTCTTCCAGGTCTCCCATGTGTGTGCAGGGGCCCAAGGACTTGGGCCATCCACTGCCTTCCCAGGCCATAGCAGAGAGCAAGATCGAAAGTGGAACAGCCAGGACTCAAACAGGTACCCATATGGGATGCCAGCACTTCAGGCCAGGGCTTTTAACCTGCTGCACCACAGCACCAGCCCCAAACAATACAGCTTTATACATTTATCAATCACATGGAAAACCATACTACCTTACTGAAAATTGATTATTGGTTAAAAAGAAGGGTTTGCTACCTTCCCACATGGAATGTTTTTACCTACACTCAGGAAGCAGCAAGTCATGGTATTGTTAATCACTTCCTACAAAGGTCCTAGGACATAAGGCTAACTCCTTGAAGTACAGCTGTTTCCTTGCCCACAGCTGAGGTTCACTGAAAGATCATGTTCCCGGGGCAGCAGCCACAAGGCATTTTCATTGCAGGGAGAGCATCCAAGCAGACTTAAGCCTCTGCTGGCACCATTCAGGTCTGCAGGATCAAAGTGATGGTTATACAACAAAGGATCATTAAACCATTAAGCCTGAAACAAAGGAACAACTGGAATCCAAAGCCATAGCAAGAAGAGAAAACTTTTTTTTTTTTTTTTTGGTAAGAGCATTTCCTGACTTGCAAATCAGGCTCTGGCAGCCTCTTGTTGCTAACAGGGCAGAAGGAAGTGACCACGTTCAGCACGGTTTAGGAGAGTTTACCAGAAGAACCCTCTTCAATTAGCCAGGACCACAAGTGGCTTTGACTTTGGAATAAAGAAGAACTAGAAATGGCACTCCCCTTGTGCAGCACACTAAGTTCAGAGTATCTTTCACACCTTTCACCTGGGTAATGGTGCCTCTCGGCCAAGAGCACCTCCAAGCGCCTGCCAGGAAAGCCTTCGCTCTAAATCTCAAATTAGTCCAAAAACAGTTTTCTAAATCCAACATGTAGCACATGCTCAAAGACAACAATAAAGACACAGAACCTAGGCCCTATGTGAAAACCAGCAGACACATCAGAAAGTAGAAGCCAACCCCTACTAGAGATATTAGGTATCAGAAAGACTGTAACATAATGATGCCTACAGTATTCATGAATAAGGGGAAAAATGAAGTTGGCCACTAAGGGATTTTCTTAGCTTTATATAAACATTCAAGATCACAAGACTCTCATGGGCCACACTGGGCACCAGTCTTATCAGGAAGACATACAAGAAGAACTAGTGCTCGCCAGCGGGCAGCACCAGGCGTGGCTCTCCTGGGGGAGTAATCCGCACAGCAGTTTATGTTGCAGTTCACACACTATCCAGGAAACAGTGTCCTGATTCTCCACCCCAGACTCCCCTACTTGGTGACAGCTGAGGTGTATGTGGAGCCAACCTGGCTTAGAAAGTCCTGGACCCACAGAAGTTATTATCACTTGAAAGAACTTAATAGCATAGTTATCAGTGTCCATGCAAAGTGCATGCAAGTTATAAGAGTTTCTGCACTCCCAGAAGCTCACTCGCCAGGGACTTCATTTTTCCCAGTCCAGGTGCAATCAAGCAGACATCCTCTTTATCGCATCCAATGTTGCTTAGTTACATGAGTTTCATCCTTACAAGGTCTCAGTAATAGCTTTCTAAAGTCTTTAACTCTTTTTGTAAATTACCAATTGATTCGAATTACTTTTTGTTCTTAGTAACCTCAGTTAACCATACTTTCTCAGTTGGAACCTCTAGTGCATTATTGGCTTCATTTGTTTACAGAGCCATCCCAAAGTACTGAATACAATAAAAGTGGCTGGAAAAAGTCCATCGGACCCTATACAGAACTGTGGATGGCAAAAGACTTTAAATTGCCATGCTTAAAACTATAAACTCATTAACCAACAAGAGGTACTTCCTTACTTCACACAGTATTTTTGAAAGCACCTGTGGGATTCTAGGAAACATTTAACCCTTTTAGGCCTTAGGACCTTTTTCATCAAGATAATCATCATGTCAGATAATACAAGATCATTAGACTTGAACTTTCAGACATTTGTATCAGTAGCATTTTATATTAGCAAAACTTAAAATTTAGCACAACTTCACATCTTGACAATACTTTTAATATAATCAAATAGCCTTATTAGTTGGTATCTCTACAAGATGAGAGACATCTCCTTTGATATTTCCAGGGGCCCATTTGGAAATATCTAAGTCCAAAGAATTTGGAACTTTGATTTTTTTTTTTGAATGCCTGTCAAGGATGCCAAGAAGGCTTAAAAAATCGGCTTGAAATAAGATCCCTTAACATGATGACATCATACAGACCAGATTTAGTCATTGTTACAAGGTAATTACTCAAATATTTTAGAATAAGCATATATTCAAACAATTCATAACTCTTACTAAAAACCTCAGCTGTTTTTAAACAATTAGGACCTAATAGAGACTTTAAGAGAACATAATAGATTAACTCATCGTTTTAACAGAGGATCAGATACTAATTCTATGTCAAAGAAATAGATGAATAGCTTTTGTATCCAAAATTTCTTTTTTTCATAACCTTCTGTGTCTTCCACACTCCCTCATCAACTTACTTGAAACGTTCTATTGTTTCCATTCCAGTCTCCAGTAAACCAGCCACCAGGATAAAGTAATTCTTAGAAACCACGTCCTTTCTTTATTCAAAAAAACTCTTTCCTTCTTAACCTTCCTTACCAAGAACATTCTTTCCTTCTTAACCTTCCTTGATTTACATTTTGAAATAACCTGTTAAAAATCTCCAAATTAAGACAACATTTTTTAAATAAGGTAACATGTCATATTTCAGCCTAAGTTACCTTCAAGCAGAAATAGTAATTAACCCAGTGAGCCAGCTGGCTTGACAGGACAATCTAGGACATGCTCACTAATAAGACCAGGAATTTGAGTTTGAAGGAATTGAGGAGTCCTGCCAAGGTCAGCTGGGGGATACAGAGCTAGGATGTTAAGTAAGTCAAATTATCGTGCAAAAGGGGGGAAAGAGTTTTGTTAGCATTTCCACACAAATTGGAAACTATAACAAGTGATAGAATAGATCTAGAGAGAATCAAACAAATTGTGAAATAAAAATAACCAAAATTTTGAACTCAATAGAAGAGTTTATCAGAAAGCAGTCACAGCTGAAGAGAGAATGAGAAAAGCGGGAGCTGCGGAGGGGAAAAAAAAACTCAGAATGTACAATGGGGGGAAAAATATGAAACTCATACATACAATTAAAAAACAGTTACTCACTGCAGGAGGCTGAAGTCCAAGACAGCACACGAACAGCGTGCATTAATTCTTAAGAAAACCACCCAGAAGTCCACCTGGAGACCTTTGCTTACAGGAGTGACTGATGGTGGTTGGCTGGTCTTGTGACCCACACCACGGGGCCAGAGTGCACATCGCACAATTGGTGCCGAGTCAAACAGCCGGGACTGTCCCCGGTGTTCTGTATTAGGCTTATCTTGGCCCTCCCCACAAGACTCTACTTAAGATGTTTACCCGGAAAGCAGGAGGCCTCTCCCAGAAGCCACCCCCAGGGCAGAGCGCTCCTTCTCCCTGAGGAAGGGCAGCCTTAAGAGCCTTCCCTACAACAGCAATAGAGTGAGAAGGCTGCCTAATTCTAAATTAGAAACTCAGAAGTAGAAGAGAGAAAATAGGCAACACAGACAGTGATGAAGTGATAAATATTTGAGTTTTCCAGGCCATGTTGTCACAAGTTGATAGAGTCGTCTGGAAGACAAACTAATCAAACAAGATAAAAGGAAATCCATACCTTGAGCTGAGACAGTAAAACCACAGAAAATCCAAAGCCAATACAAAAGTAGTAAAGGCACCCAGAGAAAAGAGAATACATCACATCAGCTTCAGGTAGACGATTTGCTGGCTGTTGAAAAGCAAAAATCCGATGCACCTGTCTTCCACAGGTTGAAAGAAAATAACTGCTTCTGGGAACTCTAGACTTACTGAAAATACTCTTTTTTATAAAAAAATAAAGCAATAGTAAAGACACTTTCAGAGAAAAAAGAGTTGAAACAGTTCTTCACCAGTAAACCAACGCAAAAGGAAGCTCTTAATAATTTTTCTCAGGAAAATGATTCCATATGGAAATACGTGGGTAAATCCAAATTAATATGTAACTATCAAAATATGTGAATAGTGCTCTGAAGTTAGAAATACAAGTGCAATAAATGACAAGTCCATATGTAGAGTGAGAGCAGCGAGAATACAAGTATGCTAAGTTCTCTTTATTGTCTAGATGAGGCTAGGAGTATTAATTATTGCTATGCTTAATAAATTAAGGATTAACTTCATAATCTTTAAGGTAACTACAAAAAAAGCAAAATAAAATATCAAAAGTACAGAAAGAAAAACAAGCAAAGCATATAGGGCAGCAAAAAGATAATATTATAATACCTGAAACAGAACTAATCCAAAGCAAATAAGAAACATGAACAAGTAGTACAAGTATAAAAAATAAAGATGGTAATTTAAAATTAATTAATGTATATCAGCAATTACATTAAGTACAAGTGGAGCGAATCATCCAGTAAAAAAATAAACATTGCTAGACTGGATTTAAAAATTAAATCACTGACATCATAAATTATGATCACTGACATCATAAATAAGAGTGTTAATTGTTAAATTAACAACAGAAGTCACTGTGCACTTACTCCCCTTAATGAATTGTACTATGAGAATTAACTGCGAAACTTGTTCTCAAACAGTACTTTAGACTTTGTGTGTCTGTGTGGGTGCAAACTGTTGATGCCTTTACTTAGTATAGAGTTGGTCTTCTGTGTATAAAGTTAATTAAAAATGAATCTTAATGAAAAATGGGGTGGGAGAGGGAGTAGAAGATGGGATGGGAGTGGGGGTGGGAGGGTGGGTATGTGGGGAAGAACCACTATATCCCTAAAGTCATACCTATGGAATTTACATTCATTAAATAAAAGCTTTAAAAAAATTAACCACATGCAATTTTCAGGAGTCAGACCTAGTACCACTCACAGCATAGGCGATAGAAAGATTGGAAACAGAAGAAAAGGAATTTGATTAAAAACATTAACCACAATATATTTATAGACACTAGGAAAAACATATAAATATAGAATACATCTTTATCTTTTGTAAATGCTAACTATTCTTTTCTAAAAGACTTTTATGTGAATTGGCTGTCATGAGTAAAAATATGTAAATTAATTTCTGTAAGCCATTTGGTTATATAAAGAGCTTTGAAATTTTCTTCATTCTCCAACTATAAAGACATAAAGAAAGCAGTAAGTCCTAAAGGTTTCTTACCTGCCAAACCTTTGTATATGAGTCTTATCACGTGATCATTAGGATGCTTCCCACTGACCTTGAGGTCAGAACTTTCCTCTGCGATTTCCAAATGTTACCTGCCTGCTGGGAGGCTGTAGGAAAGACCCCAAGGTGATGCTGCCTCTGGCGCAGGGATGGATGGATGGATGATGGCACCAAACACCTTGTCTTCTCCTGACCAGTTTTCTGCTTCTCTTTTGTTCTGGCCTCTGACAGTGTATCAAACACTCATATACACAGGGATTTGGAAGAGATCATGGAAAATGCACTTTATGAAAAAAACTACACATGGATTTTGAAAACAATTTTTTGTACCGAAAAACACTTGTCTTTTAATTGCATTTTCCATGAACATTTGAAGTACCTCCAGGTGTGACTTCTCTGTTGTCAATGGCCTTCCTTATCAGTGGGTCAACAGCAGAGGATATTTGGACACAAGGGTTTCAACCACAGGAGCCTCCCTCCCTCTTGACTTCGTCTGCCCAGAACCCCAAGAAGGTAACAACCATTTCCCTGGCCTCTGTGTTTCCGTGTCACCTCAATTCCTGTGTTTCCCATGCAAACGCCATAGGCGCAGAGGTCTTCCTGTTGCACCCTCAGCCTTCTGGAGCGAGCAGATTTGGACAAAGTGGCTGGAGATAAGGGGACACAGTCTCCGCTTCAACATGGCCACGTTTGTGAATGTGACCGCTGTGGCCCAGCAGTTACGGAGTCAGCTCTGAGTGAGCAGAATGAAACGCCACGGGCTCCCTACTGCCTGGGGCACTCCCAGGGCTCCCTCTGCGCTTCAGCTTCTCTCGCATCCTGAACAGCTTCTACTCCCCCTAAGTCAGAAGTTCTGAATATTCTCTCTTCCACGAAGTCACCTGCAGTTGCCTGGTAGTCTGTGAGAAAAGGTAAATAATAAATATTCAAAAAATTTTAAAAATGACTTCTTAGGTACAAGATTCCTAAAGTTACCTTAAAGTCTCATTCTGACCGTCTGTGAGGTTGTGTCGAGACCTCCTATCCTAACCCCCCTTCACCCCTCCCCTCACATCGACTGGCAGCACTCCTCGGGGTAAGGCATTGTCTGTCATCTCTGAAGCATTGGCGCCCAAGCAAGCAGGACCTGGCACACTGCAGGGCTCAGGAAAAGCTACGGTTCTAGCCTTTGCCTGCTCCTGGTGATAGTAAAAGAGTTCACATAACTCTCCAGCCCTTTGGGTTTTGTCTGAGATCTGCAACTATCCCTTCTGAGTTTCTTATTTAGATTTAGACAGCAGAGTCGACAGTGAGAGAGAGAGACAGAGAGAAAGATCTTCCTTTTCCTCAGGTTCAACCCTACAATGTCGCTGCAGGCCAGCGCATCGCGCTGACCCGAAGCCAGGAGCCAGGTGCTTCTCCTGGTCTGCCATGGGGTGTAGGGCCCAAGCACTTGGGCCATCCTCCACTGCAGTCCCTGGCCACAGCAGAGAGCTGGCCTGGAAGAGGGGCAACCGGGACAGAATCCGGTGCCCCGACTGGGACTAGAACCCGGTGTGCCGGCGCCGCAGGTGGAGGATTAGCCTAGTGAGCCGCAGCGCTGGCCTGAATATTCTTAAATAATAACAATCAAGTCAGTTGGGGAGTCCATTTGATGCTTTAAGATGACTTTTTTTTTTTTTTTTTTTTTTATCTAGTCCTGAAAAATCTGTTGCTACTTCATCATCATCTGTGAGGTCACCTGCAGTTGTCTGGGACGCTGTCAGAAGAGGTCAACAATTAGTATTCAAATGAAAAACTTTTTAGATACTGGATCCCTACAGGTACCTTAGAATCTCATTTTGACGATTTGTGAGGCTGTATGGATACCACTATTCTCCTTTCTGGTCCAGTGTGCTGTATAGAAGGACCAAGAAAAGTTTATGGATTGCTAACCTAAGGGAGATGGTAAGACTTTGAGTTTCTCAAGTCTCCTAACAGGGGTGTATCCATACGCGTGCTGACCCTAGAAAATCAGCTGACTCTGGCATAATAAGGAATAGAAATCTTCTGGCCTTTTTTCTAAGCTCATTTCCAAAGACAGAAACACACTGCAGTTATTTTCCATATGCGAGGACACGGCGCTTACAGCTACAGTCACCGTGCCAAGGTTGCACAGAGCAGCTTAGCAAGGAGATGAGTTCCCAATGCTCCGACCCAGAGAAACACGCGGCACTCGCTCTCCCCTCGGAGGAGGCGGGTTCGCTGCCCCTCATTGGCAGCATTGATCCTTCCGCGATCAGCGCCCGGACCCAGACTCAAGGCTGCCGAGACAAGGTGCGGGCGAACCCCTCGGGGATAAGTTGTGTCCCCCAAACGCTGCCTGGCTTATTCTTTCTCCCTTCTCCTTAGCTGACCGCAGCACCGCCAAACTTAACTTTGCAATAAAGATTTTAGCAGAGGTAGTAAAAATGAGATTATTGTGATGGAGAAAAAGGAAAAAGGCAGTCATATGCAACAAGAGGTTTGCTTTTGAAGCACTTGTGTTCTTCGTGTAAGATGCCCTTAATAGCTCATAACACATCTGATAGTCCATGGTGGTGTTTCCCGGACCCCTCCCCCCATCTTCCTAGGACCCTGTATACACTCTTGGACTTGGTGATGCGTAGATACTGGGTACACCAAGCAGGATCTGGAATTGGTCTGGGAGCAGGTAGGGTCCCATGCTAATTGAAAGCTACAAATTTTCAGCTGAGGGATCCAATGACCCTGTGTGGAAGACTCTGCTCTTGGAACACCTCTGAGAGTTGGCCACTAAAAATTCTTCTAAGACCAAGTCTCAGATGCTTGCTTGAGAAAACTTCCTAGAGAGGCATTTTGTTGGTCTTCACCCAGCCACTAGGGAACCGAGTAGGCAAACTTAGAAAGTATGAGGGCCATGCGTGCCTGTGCAGTGATCTGTTTTGTCCTCACTTCCTAATTTTCAAGAACTTCCAGACTTGAGGGTGTCCAATTTGTACATACATACCAAAGACAACTCATGTCCAGAATGCACTGGTTGTCAGAGCTAGTGGATGACAATTCTTTTCCTAACATCTCTCGTGGTCTCCAGGGTTTCAGTGACCAAGTGGAAAAAGATTGCCATTGCTGATGGTTTTAGGCTACAGGCTTGCCCAGGTTT